ATTCTAGTCTCTACTACCTTTCCTATCTTTTATATTTGATTTGTTGTTAAGTGTTGCTATTTGTTAATTTTTCTCTTATTGTATAGTTACTTTACCAATCCACATATATTTATAATTACCTAGATATGCTAATTTCATACTGTTTTTAGATCCACTGATGATGACATTAATTGAATGTCGAAACGTTTGGAAATAAAGATTATTTATAAATCTTTGGCTTTTCTTTGTTTGATGTATCGCCCTCAAGAACTCACTCATATATTTCAACATCAAAATTAACTACTAAATCATATAACATCCTGGCTGGAAATAGGATTTTTCTACACTTTTTCTCTGTTAACGGGAATTACTCACTCACAACAAGACCCTTTCTCATCTTCTCAAGACGCAACTACTTATCAAATCAAGACTCTTATCTCCCTTATACTCTATATTAATTCATCGTTATTGTTTTCTTATGTAATATTTAGCATCCTAATTTTGGCTACTGTACAGCCGCGTTTTTATATTTATTTGTAGTTTTGTTTTTATTTATTTTTAAGTTAGGCCATTTTTTCATCTTTATTTTATCAATTGTTTGTATGTTCACAGTTATTGTTAGTTTTAACTTAAGATTGTTCTACTTGTACGCTCTAACATTCATACCACTTGCTTGTTATTCTGTCACCAATTTACTTTCTTTAAATTTATTTTTTTAGCTACTCTTTTCCTTTAACGAGCATTATGAAACCCACACAGGCTACTTGTAATAAAAATTTTTATACAAGAGAATTGTATCACCAATGACATCCTCCCTAATCCTTCCTTTTATAATTTCATCAATAAACATTATGGTTCTTACATCCTTTCAGAATTTAAGGTATTAGCTAAACTAAACTTCAAACTTTCTACCAATATCAATAAACAGATCTTTCTTATCAGATGCAGGAAAGAAGGTATCATACCTAATTTTTATCGCCTAAATTTTACAAAATTTTCTCATCTGAACAATTCTCTTAACAACAAGTTTTCTAAACTTAGTTTACATATTCTCTCACTAGAAATCAAAAATTGCATTTGTCACACCAATAACCTGAGACGTGCTATTGATAAAATCTATCTTGGTTATCGTATTCTGTTGAAACCGAGATCCTGGAGAGCTTCTCTGAATTTGAATCCATTCGTATTAAAAAGAACTACAACAAATCCAAAACCTCATATATTAAAAAATTCAATAAATTACACGAATCAAAAATGAATTCGTCAAAAATCATCCTGAACGAATCTCTTACCAATAAATGGCTAAAAAATCTATCTAATATCCATATACCTGATAGACTACTCTATATTTTTGCACTAGGCCCAAATTTTGCTATTCCTAACAACTGTCACAACTTTAATTTTATCAAAGTACTCAGCAGATTAGAGTCAAGCTTACAGAATATAAAAAATCCCGAAATTAAAACTAATACCCGTTCAGCTTTTTGTAAAAATTTTCTCTCGTTTATTAAATCTTTTAACACAAAAAAAAATCGACAATATTGACACCCTTAGGGACATTAAAGCTTGCAAACTTTTTATTAAAGAAAACCCTAACATTTTAATTACGAGGGCCGACAAGGGGAATATCACAGTCATTTTGGAAAAAACCACGTACCTAGAAAAAGTCTCCGAATTAATTTCAGACACAAAAACATATTCTCCTATTAACTCCGATCCCACTGACCGAATTAACCGTACTTTTCACAAATTTGTAAACAACTTAGTCTCTAACAAACAAATTACTCCACAAATCTCACTGACAATTAAAAACCTTCACCCTTACAACCCCAAACTCTACGGACTTCCTAAAATACATAAACACAACGTTCCTCTCAGACCTATCGTGGCTGACCTGAACTCACCTCTTTCAAAATTCTCCAAATACCTTAGCAACATACTCTCTTCAGTCACAGTCAAGTCTCGTTTCTTTACAAAAAACTCCTTTGAACTTGTCAACAATCTCCGCGATTCCGTTATTCCTGATAACTCCTTATTGGTTAGTCTTGACGTAGTATCCCTATTCACAAACGTCCCCCTACAATTAATTTTAGATGCCATCACTGCTAGATGGGACGAAATCTCTTGTCATACAACATTATCACTGCATTGGTTTCTCGAGTCCATAAAATTCATAGTTTCGAATACTTATTTCGAATTCAACGACCATTTTTACCTTCAAATATTTGGCACACCTATGGGTTCTCCTATTTCCCCTTCACTCGCAGAAATTGCTTTACAACACTTAGAGTTGAAAGTTTTTAATTCCTACAATCTAGACCTTCATTTTTATTACAGATATGTTGATGACATCCTTACTGTGTGTTCCTGTTAAAAATTTCGAACTCTTACTTCATAGTTTTAACTCATTTAATGAGCATCTCTCCTTTACGTTTGAAAAAGAACAAGAAAATTCTATCAGCTTTTTAGACGTAAAAATTATAAAAACCGCAGACAATCGAATTATCACCAATTGGTTCCAAAAACCTACTTGGTCGGGTAGGTATTTAAATTATCATTCTTACCACCCTTCTAGCATGAAGATAGGCACTATTATTAATTTAGTCGACCATGCCATCCTACTATCAGACAAACAATTTTGGCCCTCTAACTTATCCCTCATCCGCACAACTTTAATTAACAACTCATATCCACCGCACCTCATCAACTCCGTCACCTCCAACAGACTTAAAACCCTCAACAGTATGCATTCTTCTTTTTCCCCAGAAAAAAATTCTAAAGACAATAACTATATAGGCAACGTTTGTTTACCTTACGTAAAAGAACTTTTTCCAGTGTGGAAAAAACTTTTTCATAAGGTAGACATCAGACTAACCTGCAACATAGATCTAACTCTTAAATCCCTCTACACAAACCTGAAATCTCCCACTAGTATAGAACGTACTTCCAACATTGTTTACAAAATAAATTGCAATGATTGCCCTTCTACTTACATAGGTGAAACCGGACAAAATTTAATAAAAAGACTCAAACAACACGACAATAATTCGAAAAACCCCAACCAAAACCAAACTATGATAACAGAACACATAAAAAATTTCAAACACTCCTTTAACTTTTATATTGCCAGTATTCTCTACCATGAACGGAACACCATTCAGAGACGTTTTGCAGAATCTTGTTTCATATCAATATGTGACCACGTGGTGAACAAAAGATCGGATTCCTCCTTACTCTGCAATAACTACCAAGTAATACTAAATAATGTTTCCAAATTTATCTCCTCTGAACAAAACTAATTGACCTTACTAACCTTGCCAACACTTCCTAGTTTAACTTCGGCCTTGATACCCGAGCTTTACCTACCCATACATAGCAAATTTTGAATAAACCTTAAAAAATTTTTATTTTAGATTTTTGAGTTATTAGTATAACTACTTAGTAATACTAAATAATATTTCCAATTTTTTTTCTCCTAATTCTAACCATACAAACCTAGCCTAACATTACTAGTTTCAACTTCCGACTATTTTCTACCTACCCGCCCATAACAATCCTGGAATGACCCTTAAAAATCTCTCAAAACATGTGGTGACTTTTATACATGCCTCGGTACTAGCAAAGTACAGAAGTCGTGGCAGAAATTACATAATTCTACTTACATTTTTGTTCAATAAAACTATCATTTTTCTGTTTACATCATACAAAAAAATTATATAAAAAAATGCATAGTGCTGACAAGTTAGTTGTATAAATGTTAGTGCCAAATCTCTAGTGCTGTGTACACTTCTCTATATGTAACTAACCAACGAAATGTAAGTCCACTTGTATTTTATATGTATTATCCATCTTCATAAATAATTTGTTTGCTTTACATATATACGAGTTTACATATATTGTATGTATATATATATATATATATATATATATATATATATATATATATGTATTTGTATGTATGTATGTATATATATGTATATTGCTTATTTACATGTATGTTTGTATGTATGTGCATATTTATATGTGTATACATGTAATTATATATACGTATATATGCATGTATGTATGTGTATATATATATATATATGTATATATATATGTATATGTATATGTATATATATATATATATATGTATATATATGTATATATATATATATATATATATATATATATATTTGTGAGCATTTATGTACATATGTATATATATGTATTGTGTGTATATATATGTATGTATATATATGTATATATATATATATGTGTGTATATATGTGTATATACATGTTTATGCGTATATGTATGTGTATACGTGTATAGCTATAGTTACATAGATAGGTATGAGTATATGTATGGTTTATACATGTACATGTACGTCGTTGTGAATATGCATGCACGTTGCATATATGTATATACATATATTTATATGTGTATAGTCTTACATGTATATGTGTACATATATAGGTATATATTGTTGTATCTGTATATGTATATGTGTATTATATGTTTGTATGTGTGTGTATATGGATATATGCATGTATATATATATATATATATATATATGTATATATATATATGTATATGTGTGTATATGTGTACGTACATATATGTATATATGCGTAAGTTTATATGAGTGTACTTAAATATTTTTGCCTATACTTTTTAATTATTTATTTAATTCTAGTCTCTACTACCTTTCCTATCTTTTATATTTGATTTGTTGTTAAGTGTTGCTATTTGTTAATTTTTCTCTTATTGTATAGTTACTTTACCAATCCACATATATTATAATTACCTAGATATGCTAATTTTCATACTGTTTTTAGATCCACTGATGATGACATTAAATTGAATGTCGAAACGTTTGGAAATAAAGATTATTTTATAAATCTTTGGCTTTTCTTTGTTTGATGTATCGCCCTCAAGAACTCACTCATATATATATATATATATATATATATATATATATATATATATATGTGTGTGTGTGTGTGTGCAACTCAAAAAATTATAATTCAAAATCAAACCATTTGGATGAGTTTTATAAGCAATTCTTAATGCAGCTGGATGTGTATGAACTCCATCAGATATTAGTCCGAAATAAATAGTCTTGTCATTTGTAAAGCTATCTGTCGATAATAATCCTACAAGGCCAGGATCTCGATGATGAAACTTGAAATAGAGTTAAGAAATGTATTATGTCTATAACTTAAATATACTTAGTTATTAATTCAAAATTATTTTTACCGGCAACATTGCATTAAACAAATGAGTGATAAGAGTAGCGCCTGCTTTAACAGCTTGTTCACCTTCCACCAAATTAGCAGTGGAATGCCCCAATGATACTACCAGCCCATTCTTTGTTAACATAGATATCATTTTCATAGCGTTCTCCTTTTCAGGGGCTACAGTTATTATTGAAACATTTTCCATAGCTCCATATGTGGTTTCAAATTGTTTATATTCCTGTAATAATAATTCGACATTTAAGTTATGTATTTTTATTTCATAGTTCACAGCTTGTGTCAACAATCAGATTAATTTTTTGGCAATTTTTGGCCCGCATCTTAAAAACAGTTGCACCTGCATTTGCCAAAAACTAATCAGCTCATCTCCCCGTCAATACGAATCAAATCTTTTTGGAATTATTTAAATCGACTGATAAATATTCACACAATCATGGACGAAAAATTGTATCCAAACATACATACATACAAACACACACACGGATCCATTTTTTCTAAGGTATGCCATAATGTCCATAAATCTCTGAAACGTAAAGATACGCAAAACTTTTTATTTTCGATTAGTATAATACCCTATGGGAAGTTAATAATCAGCACGTCTCCTTATCAATAGAAATTGATTGTTTTTTGACTCATTCAAATCGATTCGTACGCCCGAAATCGTCGACGAAATGTTGTATCCACACATACACTCAAACGCACACATCTATTTATTCTAAAGTATGTGAAAATATTCAGTAACCAAGGAACGTAAAGATATGCAAAAATGGACAATTACAATAACTTACCCTACCGGAAGTTAATAAATATCTTTTCTTTCATAAAAGTAATGAACACAAATTTTTAGGTCATTGCTCATCGCATCTTTTTATATCTACATATTTCGTACGCATATTTCTTGCATTTAGAACATTTACAGCAAATTCGCGGATTTATCAAAAATCGGCGCCTTGTTCAATGGCTTTAGTAAAAAGTAATTCAGTACAAATTCGAGACATTTAGCTTTGATTATTAAATTCTAAACATTTATATCAGCTAAAACAAAGATATTGAAAAAAAAAATCGGAATGGTATTTCCCAAAATTTATATTTTTAGATATTCTTGCCATTTGACCCGCTATGTCTACATCTTAATATATATAAATTTAGTGCCACAGTTAACGTCCGCGAGGGACGCCTAAAATACTGAACCGATTTAAAATTTATTTTGCTCACTGTGTCCATATGGATTATATTTCTTTGATATCTACCCGTAACTGTCCACCCGAATGCCGGGTTTTGTAAAACAGATTTATCGGGGCCTAGTATAATTCTTTCGTTACCTAAAATTTCAAAAAACGTATCAGCACCTATCAACATATCTACTTCGCGCGGAATAATTAAGTATGAATCTAAAAGTTTTAATCCATTAGGAAGATTTAGTTCAGCAATTTGGATTTGCTGCGCGGGTAGTAGACTCGATATTTTCGTAAGCACAAAGGCATTTATATTTTTTTATTTTTTGCAAATGTACCATCTTCATTAAATATTTCTAAATTTGTAAAATTATTCGATTTCGTTGAAATTCCAACAACACCGTGGAGCTTAAGGCTTCTGGATTGAGATTTAACACGTAATTTTTGGAATAGCGAATTTGATATGGTATTAATTTATGAGTCTAAATCCACTATTGCTTAAATTTTAACGCGACTTCCTTTATTACTTTTTACAAACAAATTTACCGTAGGTACAAGCGCAACCCCCCGTCATTCCTTTTCCCTCACAAAAAATTATAATCGAAATACCTCGATTGGCTTCTAAATTTTAAGCAAACATCGTTGAAAGTTCTAATTTTGACAAACGCCATAAAAACGATACTAATTTTTGCAAATTTGGAACAGACGAATTTTCAAAATTTAACGACTTGTCGTAGGACCGTAATATTTTAGTATGATCTATAAGACTGTGGTATACCTGTCTATAAGACTGTGGTAGACCGTCAAAAAAACCATAAAAAATGTCTAAAAAATTACTACTACTTATTAATTACTACTACTTATATTAATAAAAACACTTTATTACAAGAAAACGGCCCGGCCGATCATTACCAAAAACTAATCAGGTCGATTCCCAACCAATATCTTTCGAACGGTTTTTGAATTTTCAAAATAGATTCATAATTGCAGGCTAAAACGTGGACGAAAATTTTTTCACTTTTCTGCTATTTATAAAGAAGCGGCTTGGCCGATCGTCGCACAAAACTGACAAACAATAGTCCTCATCGAGATACATCGAATGGCTATTAGATTTTTGAAATCGGTCAAGTCGTTTTTGAGAAAACGTCGATTTACGCAAAAAATCTGTTCGAGCACACACACACATACTTTTTCCAAATGTTGGTCTCATTCGATTCAGAATGGCTGGAAACGTCGAGAAAACATAAAATTAGCGAGTCGGATTTTTTGATGAAAACAAACTTCTCCTTCGGAAAGTTTGTAAGAGGGGCGCTGAGTAACATTTTTTCTGAAAAGGGGGCGGTAGGTGAAATAAGTTTGGGAATCACTGGTCTAGACCAAAGACCATAGAGCAACGAACGATTCGGGCGCAAGAGTCTATGCTGCATTTCTATGGGCTATGATGACAGTTGGTAACTTAGTATCATATAAATAAGCATACGGCGAAATATATTTGTGAGGTTAGGTTATTACATGTCAAATGTGTTTACTTGAAGATCATCTTGCTTATTGAAAGCGGAGTTGCAGAAAATATTACGATTCATGGTATATATATATATATATATATATATATATATATATATATATATATATATATTGAAATATGTGAGTTTGGTGTTGATATTATATAACTAACTCATCAATATATATATATATATATATATATATATATATATATATATATATTGTTGGGCACCGCGTTGATGAACAGAAAGGGCTGTTGGCGCCGCTATATGCAAATCGGTGTTGTTGCTCTGGACCTTCCGGAGTTCCTGAAAACTCACTTGCTGAAAATACTTGAGATTGATAAATGAAAAGACTATTTCAAAAACTTCCCTTTATTACACTTTAAGTACAAGGAACTCGGAGGTATTGGAAGAGAAGTGTTTGCCCGGCGGCCGACAGATTAAGACTGATTTATTTCATAATTATTAAAACTAAAATCCTTTGAAACGTAGTGGGGATTTGTCTCGAATATTCTATGCAACGAAAAGGACAAAGTAATGAATTTAGCTGATTAAACAAAATGTTATTCATACGAGCTTGGTGAGAATTGTTAACTAGGCGGAATGTCGATAATATGATCTTGGTGAGATTTGCCGATGTAGATTCATGATTTCGTGAGAGAATGTTAATGTCAGCTACTACGCAATAGTCTGAGAAAAGTTAATATGAACCGTTAATATCAGCTAAAGCTCAGGGGTTCTAAGATTTCAATCTGGACTTGTTAGAAATCTAATATTATGACAGTGGTTAGCAACTTGTAATATCAGGGGTGTACAACACCTCCCTCGCCAATGTAGCGACTCCCGGCGCTACCGTAAAAAAAAACTGACACCAAAAGACAAAAAAAACATTATTCAATTCAAGAAAAATAAATAACAAAAATCGCAACGATTCATTAAATTTGACTAAAGAAGTATTAAATATTTTATGTATTGAAAAGAAGTATTGAATATTTTATGTATTAAAGAAGTATTGAATCAATATATATAGTAATCTTGAATATTCTTAAATTAGCTTTTAGATTTAAATTGAAAATAAATGATATGGAAGTTCACTTTTTCTTTAACTAATGTTTCTATAAAATTATAAATTTATTCAAGATATTTTCTAAATTTACCTAAAACTTGAAATAATTACTCATTAAACATTAACTAAATCATTAACTTTTGCAATAGAATCTAAATTAATACTTGAATTTGTTTAGGTAAATTTAAAATTACAATTATTATTTAATTCAAGGAATCATTATCAAAATTATGTTCACTATTTGTATACTACATTAAAAAAATCAATAAAATCAATTGATAATCAATAATCAATAATTAATATTCAATAATCAATAGTCAATAATTAATAATTAATAATCAATATTCAATCAATTAATAATCGATAACTAATAATCAATAAGTCAACAATAGATTTTTTTTGGAAATCAATAATTAATGATTGATTAATTATGCTATTATGCTATATTTAATAATCATAAATCAACTATTTAAAATTAATAAGAATGTAATAAATTCAAAATTATCCCTTAAAAATTGATAATGATATGATAATTACGAAAGATTGTAAAGTTCAACTTATAATTAATTTATGCTTGTAGTAGAAAATTAAAATTTTAATATCTATTTCATATATTATACAACTAAGATAAAACTATATGATATATTATTTTCTAATTTATTGCAGGATTTGGACTTTCTCTTCTCAATTCTATATCATTACTTACATTTCCTTCGATATTAGTATTGGTTTCATTGATAGTTCTTTTAAAAATATTTCTTATGATCGATTTGAATTTAAATACGATAAAAGCTAAAATTATTAATGAAATTGGTATTATCCAATAAAAATATGGTTTGATCTTAGTTGTACTTCCTCTAAATCAATATTTGAATTTCGTTTAAAATCTTCTATGTTTTTACTTAATTTATATAATTCTGGTATTACGTCTTTATGTTCTAAATTCTTTATATACTTTGGTATTTGTGGTACAGTATTATTATGTATTTCCATATTTATAATATTACTCATATCTACTTTTGAAATATAGTTAAGTTGGGTTGTAATTGAGCTTTTAAAATTTTCTTTTGTATGCAATTTTGTAAATCTATTTTGTGCTTTACAGCCTGGTTTTAATTTTAATTTCCCGATTTGTGACAAAAGTATTGATTTTTTTGTATTGTTGCAACTTATATCAATAATGTCTTTACTTGGAAAAATATAGATCCATGAATTTGGAAAAGATAATTGCAAAAATAATGGATGAGTAATATTAAAAATTCTCTTATTGCATGTTGAAGGTACATTCAAATTTGGAAGAAATAGTTCTATTTCACATTCATTATTAAGACCATTATAAATAGATATAGGTTTATTCTGTTCACAAATTAATTTTTCATCCAGTTTTATACAACTATTTAAATATAATTCGTTACAAAAAAATACTCGTGTATATCGGAATCTATCACTATTAT